CTATACCCACTTACATAAAGGAACTATAGTGTCCTGTACCCACTAGTAAAACAATATCAAAAATTATATTTGGTGTCTGAATAATAGTTGGTTTGACTGTGGATTAATTCTTGTTAAAACTACAAAGTAATTCAGTCAAGAGCAGTGAGGTATTTTCTTTCTTTCATTTTCTCGGATTAACATTAAGGGCACCGACAGCAGCTAGTAAATTAGGCGCGGTCACTTTAAGAGACAATGCATACATTATAATGATACACATCGGATTTCTTTCTCCACTGTTTACTTTCACGTAAGACATAACCGGCAGTTTTTTTCGAGGATACTCTCCAAGACGGGCATTTTGACATAGTTTTGTATGTATTTGTCTGTACAAGAGTAAAAAGAGGCAAATTTCGGTGTTCAAGCGCTTTGAGACGCGTCTCTCTGCGTGCGCTCTGTGCCCACAAAACACCGCGCGCGGGTGCAGAATTGGGCTCTTTCACCTCTTTTTCTGTTTGCATGTTTAAACTGCGATTTGTATTTGTTCGTTCAGGTGCAGGAGGACGCGAAGGACAGCTCGGTTCAGTGTTGCTGTTCGTGAGACCCGGCTCTCTGCGTGCGCACCAAACACGGCACGCGAGTACTCAGTTGAGTTTTTCCGCGTCTTGTGTTTGAATGCGTTAAACTCCTTTGAATGTTTAAATGGGCAAGGCTTAAAAACAACTGCAAATGAAAAGCTTTCGTGACGATGCGCAGCAGTGGCCCGTAAACTTTCCTGAGCATCTTTTTAGGCTGGCCTCAGCCAGTCGGTTGAGATCTCCGGGGCCCCCCCTCAGCCGTGGGCCCCTATAATCTTCACCACCTTTCACCCCACTAGCGACGGCCCTGTAAAGGGCCCTCCTACAAGGCTGATAGTGAAAGGTATACTGTACATGCAATGGTCACTTCAAGAAATTCATTTCACCATTTACAATAATGAAATCCTTTGTATGCCCTTGGAATTTATTTTGAAACCTGAGGTAATTTAGATCTTACCTGGTATTTAAAGCACCCATCAAGCACCCAAGGATAATAAACAGGAAACAGTACCCAAGTTTAAATACATTTGAATGATTTCAAATGTACTTACCCTTCAGAGTGCTTGCTGCAAGCGTTCTGCCTTCAGAGTGAGTACCACATAGTGATGTTCGCTTTCGAATACATTTCGGTTTTCGTCTGTGTGTGTGTCAGCTCTGTACTTGGCAACCCCCAGTGTGTCCCGTTTCAGCGGACAGAGGCCATATTCGCTAATCGCCCAATAAAGATTAATCTCCCTCCCTCACCTCTCTCCTGTAATGTTTTCACAGCTACTGAGCTAAAATTTTAATAGGTTTTTTAGCATACCTCCATATTCCTTTCAGCGTGGGTCACTAATGACCAGCTGTGAGTGCAGAGCGCTGACCCCCCTGAGCAGACTGGGCTGCCTGGCCTCATTCTCAATATGCCGGCCCTCCAATTATCCTTAGCATGCCCCCCGGCGCAGGCCAGCGGCCCCTCCACCGCCACTGCCAGCCAACCACACTGCCACATGCTGCAGCAGAAAAATCTGCATCTGATAAGAATGTGTGTTCATTTTACTTCACATGCTGTGTGTTTGCAGCCACCCTGCCTGTGTGGAACAATGCACAGCTGTTGACTCTATAACATATAGCTGTTACCTCCATCATTACATATTGAACATTTATGGTCTGCCTTGTATTTGTCACCACGTGCATGCATAATAAATTCAAACGCTATGTAAAAACAAAAGGGGAGTTAATCACAGTCACTATAAGTCACTATATAAGTCAGTATAATATATTTATGTTTTGTCAAAGACACAATTGCATATTCATCAACTAAAACATTTAGGTGTGTCTGTCAAAGTATAGCCTGTCAAGGTTTTGGTATGGTAGCACAATTGTGACCCTGGACCACAAACCATAAGGGTTACATTTTTTGAAATTGAGAATTATACATTATCTGAAATCTGAATAAATAAGCTTTCCATTGATGTATAGTTTTTTTTAGGATAGGACAATATTTTGATGAGATACAACTATTTGAAAATCTGGAATCTGAGGGTGTAAAAAAATCTAAATATCGAGAAAATCGCCTTAAAATTGTCCAAATAAAGTTCTTAGCAATGCATATTACTAATCAAAAATTAAGTATTGATATATTTACAGTAGGAAATTGACAAAATATCTTCATGGAACATGATCTTTACTTAATATCCTAATGATATGAATGACGAGTTATGAATGAATGAAACGCCTTTGTCCGCTTGAGAAACGGTGTCTCTTCCACGGCTCGGTATGCTTTCAACTCGTTTTTTTTTTTTGTCTCGAGTAAGACACTGTATGACATTTACATTACATGATTTGACTGATTTTTACATAGAAAGGGCGACAAGCGCACCGCATTAAAATAAATGACATAAACGGTTTTCATAACCGCTGGCCAAATTAAAAAAACGAAACTAAAATTAAATCATCTTTGAGAGCAAGGGGGCCCCCTGGTGTTTTGGGGGCCCTACGCAGCTTGCGTACTTTGCATATAGGGAGGATCGGCTCTGAATGTATTAATTATGCCTTGTAATGCACCTTATAATGCATTTTATGATCTCATGAATAATTGTGACCTCAGTTATAATACATTAAAATACTTTCTATTTATTGTTACACCTTTAGAAAGTATAATGCATTACAGTTTTTCTCAATTGCTTTGGCTCAATTCTCGAATGAAACTTTTTTTTTCCCGAAACAATAAGTTCAGATCTCTGAACAATTAGCTTCTTGTTCACATCAGATTGGAATTTCTTATTGATTTGAGCAAATTGCAAATGCTTTGGCACATGTGTGCAAACAGTAAGTACAATTGTCTGCAGTTTGCACAACAACTAATTGCATATGGCTTGTTGATCAAAACTGATGAGCCGATTCTCACTTAAACTGTCAAACTCTTCACAACTTCTCAATCATTTTTCATCGTGTAAGCCATCACATTCAAAACGATCCATTCAATTATGAAAAATTGGTATACACGCATGTATATTCCATAAATATCTGACATTGACATTGTTTGTAATGTCTGCTAAATTGGCAAATAACCTCTAATTGCAATACAATTTGAAACAACCATTCAACCATTTAACCAATCAAGTTTGGGAGCATATATATGTAGATTGCCCACAGCACAATCACTAAGAATGGAGGACTTCCACAACCCTGAACTGCAGCAACATGCTCGTGGAAGAGCAATTGGAAGACGTGTAAGAATACGTGGTGGTGGTGTTAGAGGAAGACATAATAGAGGAAGAGGTGGAAATAGAAGAGTCAGAGTCTCTGATGAAATCAGAGCCACACTTGTGGATCATGTCATAAATCGTGGTTTTACAATGGAAGAGGCTGGTCGAAGAGTACAGCCTAATGTAAACAGGTCCACAGTGTCATCAACTGTGCAAACCTTTCGTAGGGAAAACAGGTAAATATGTATTTATTTTTTTTGTTTTACAGTATGTAAAGCATTTTTATAAACAACAATATTGTAAAGGTAAATGCAAGTCTATTTGTACATTCTATAGAACCGCACAACAACCTCGCGCTCGTGGCAGAGCAGCAGTATTTAACCATCAGCAAGAACAAGAAATTTGCAACATGGTCATAGCCAACAATTCCATCAGGCTAAGAGAGATCCAAAGTGCAATCATAAATGACAATAATGTCTTCGCAAATATAAATTCTGTCAGCATTTCCACCATAGACAGAGTTTTGAAAAGACATCAAATGACTATGAAACAACACTACAAGGTGCCATTTGAGAGGAATAGTGAAAGAGTGAAGGAGCTGCGGTACCAGTATGGCCAGGTAAACTATTGGTGTGCACTTAGTGAGTTTTACTGTACTTCTAAGATGCCTGTATTACTTGAAGTTTTAGAAACCCATAAGAAGAGAAAACATTTACTGAACTCTAGAATAAAAATGAACTATTTTGTTTCTTCGTACAGAATCATGGAGTTAGAAGTACATGAAACAACCCACATTCTTGTTTTTGTGGACGAGGCCGGGTTCAATCTGTCCAAAGGCCGGAGACGTGGT